CCTGCTGGCGGTGCAGCTGGAGGTGGGCTCTGCTCTCTTATCTGGGCGGTTTCCAGCTTTTCTTAGTTGGGTGAAATTTCTACCCAAATTAGAATCGACGAGGAGCTGTTGGGAGATGGTCACAGTTACAGCCCGAAAGCCATTCATTCCTGGCTGACAAGAGTCATGTACAACCGGAGGTCCAAGATAAATCCGCTCTGGAACACCGTTGTCATCGGAGGCTACTACAATGGCGAGAGGTGAGCGAGGACGTGGAGCGTGTGATGGTTACTGTGCATCCCTCCCTGGGGCTGCTTCTCGTGGCACGGGATTCAGAGAGGTCTCCGGCTGGGTGTAGCCCCTCAAAAGCTGAGTCCGTCCCCGCCGCAGCCCCGCCTGTGCAGCCGCCACGCTCACAGATATGTCCCTTCAGCTTCCTAGGTTACGTGGACATGCTCGGCGTGGCCTACGAAGCCCCTACGCTTGCTACGGGTTACGGAGCGTACCTAGCTCAGGTAGAGTACGCTCTTGCTCAGCTGCTAAAGCGACCTCGGCGCTGGGTGACTGAGCTGTTGAGCTACTGGATTTTATTTTTTTCCCCCAGCCGTTGATGAGAGAAGTCTTGGAGAAGAAGCCCAGCCTGACGAAGGAGGAGGCCCGTGACTTGATCGAGCGTTGCATGAAAATTTTGTATTACAGAGCCGCTCGGTCATTTAACAGGGTGAGGGCCCAGCTTTGGCGTGCCGCGGCTGGCGAGCTGGTGTGCCTGCTCTGCGCCTCAGGCTGACGTTCCAGTCCTCCCCCCCAGCCATCTTCTGTCTCTGGTCTCAGGAAACCTTGCAGTAACTCCCGAGTTGGCAGAGGCGGGGTGTGTTAGGAGATCCTGTTAGCAAAGCTGTCCTCCACAGCCCGTCTCCCCTTGTGTCCTGCAGCCTCAGAAGAGCTGTTTGAGTCCAAATGATGCTCATCTCTGGTGTTTTCTTAGATCTGATGATGCTTCTCCCATCACTGCAGTTGTAGCATCCGGAGGCTGCAATCTTTTAGCTTTGGAAATGTTTCTATTTACTACTACTGTCTCAACTTGCCCACCAAGGAAAAAGTAAAAACATTACCGAATGCAAAGCCATGTTAAAACAAGCTTGTGTAAAGGACAGCTGTTGTTACTGACTCTTGCTGATTAGAGCTTTCACAGGGCCCATCTCAAATTCAAGTATGGAAGTCGGGCTTTATTGAGAGCTGTCAATGTTTTCTCTCCTCAGTACGAAGTAGCTATTGCAACGGAGAAGGGCGTGGAGGTGGAAGGGCCCCTGACCCTGGAAGCCAACTGGGACATAGCACACCTCGTCAGGTAATGCCCGAGGATTGCACGCAGGTTGAGCGCTTAGTCTGCGAGTCGGCAGTCCCAAGGCACAAAATGAAGTGGTTAATAAAGCCTGGGCGACGCGCAGCCGTTGCAGGATAACATCCCTCTCGCGTGCTGCAGTAGGAGCCTCCCTGATCCCCGCTGCGACCCAGTTCTTGAATTTGGGGGGTGGCTGTGGCAGGCAGGAGGAAGCGCGGGCTCCCTGCGCGCCGGGGGGCGGCTTCGGGCTCCGCTCCCTGCCTGGCTGCTCTCTCCTTTGCAGCCGAGGCCTGAAGGCGTTGGCGCGAGTTCCTTCGGGAACTTTGGGAAAGCTTTTTGTTGCTGTACCGTCCGCTTTGCTGCCTGCGCGCTCCCTCAGGACGGGTGCCGCTGACGGGCAGCGCCTGAGAAAAGCGAAAATGGCGATTTTGTTAGTGCAGGCGTCAGCTGCGTCCGGGTTGTGCAGTGTCCTGACCTTATCAAAACGTCTTCTTGCAGTGGCTTTGAATGATCTCCGAAGAGCTGCTCCAGGCTGTTGTGTCCGCGCTATCGCCCTTTATATATGCTGTAAATCCGTTACTCCTTTTGAAGCTCTGATCAGACTTGTTTTGGAAACAAAATAAACCTGTTAAGACAAGCCTGTGTGTTTGTGCTCGGGTTTAAGGAGTAAGTACACCGTCCTCCTCCCGTGTCTGACCTCCAGCCCCTCTCTCAGACGGGGATCGAGTGTGCATGAGCTGGGTCGAGGTGCTCCCTCGCTGCCTCCCACTAGCACCCGTGGCCTCTCTGCTGGAGAGGACCACGACAATGCTTCCTTTCTCCACTCTGCCTTTTAGTAAAGGTTTCTGAGCTGCAGGTTTGTATTTTGCTATACAAGACGACTCCAGCAGCCGCTGGAATGTTTTACCTCTGGGACTCTAGGATTAGCACTTGGTTGGTACCTGTTTGCTAAATCTTAAGTTAAACACGCAAATCACTTTAAGATTTGCCCTAACAGAAGAAAAACCTACCGAACTGCGACATCTGTGACCGGGAGCGCGCTGTAATCCTCTGGGGTGTTCCAGCAACCTAGACCTGCGCGTGGCACGTACCGTGCAAGCACTTGTAATCCAGGGAACCAGCAATTCTGATCTGGACAGGTAAAAAGCCTCAGTCAACCTTTAAAAGCCACCTGTGGACAGAAGGAAAACGCATCTTTAAGATGTTTTCTGTTTAAAAAAACCAAAGTATTTGTGAACAGTACGGAAAATAATGGAAAAGTCAGATGGGTCCTCCTGCTTGGGTCTGTGGGGATCAGGAGCGGGGGTGCGGCGGTGCTGCCTCAGTCCGTTGGACTGAAACGGGGGGCAGAGACACGGGTGCTCTGCCGGCACCGCCATGGGCCGGACAAGGAGGCGGCGACGCCAGGAGGGTAAAGCAGCGTTCCCAGACCGAGATTTCAGATTCATCCAGCCGCTGGCTCCCGCGCTGCTCTCCCGTCGGGCGTTCGACTGCGGCGCCGACTCCTCCAGCCCCGGCAGAGCTGCAGGACACCTCTAAGGTGAGCGCGCCAGGCCGCTGTGAGCATATTCTCACAAACATCTACATTTTGGTAACCCTGCAGCTCTCCGCACCTATTAAATGCTCTGGTTGAAAGCACAGCGGGGAAAAATGGCAGGGGGGGGTTGATTTCAGTTTCTTTAGTTTTCTCTAATCACCAAGATTAGAATAATTAACATCTCCCTATTTAAGTTCCTGTTGTCCTGCCTTCTGACAGCAGGTACACTGCGACACAGGGCCTCTGAAAACGAAGGACGATCGCCCTACAGCTCCCTGCGAGCAGCCAGAGGTGCCGCATCTCCGTCCCAACCCCGGCTGGCGACAGCAGGATCGTAACAAAATGGTGTTACGTGTGCTTCAGATAGGGCTGAACGGGGCATTTCTTAGCTTTATATGAAATAAATTCACAAACAATATTAAGAGTGGTATTTATGACTACCCGAGATAAACAACAGTAAAAATATTTATTCAGGAGAGTGTTTTATTAATGATTTTTCAGACTTTTATTTAAAAAAAAGAAAATCTCACTGGGGAAGAGAGTAGGCTGTTCCACTGAACCTACCGTATAGTTAAAGGGCAGGGAGGGGTTGCAGAAATGCAAATGGGACCAAACTCTGCCCCAGGTGTTAATGACACGTAAACACATTTGATTACGATCCCAGCTCTGGGTTTCTTCAGGACATGCTAAACGACTCTGGGTGCAGAGAGGGAACCCAGCCGGCGACCCGGGCACGGCTCCGAGACACAGCCTGCGTCAGGCTTGCTCTGGCACGGCGCGGAGCAGTTCGTGATGCACTTTATATTAAGCATTACGGTATCACGAGAGTTAAATAGTTCTTCATAATAAAAACACATGTTTATAAATCCATTTCCCTGGTTTTATTAAATGTTCCACTTATGTACATTTTAAAGATGAACCATTTACAGGTCTGCACATGCTGCCCCCTGCTTTCCTTAGGTAATAGGGAAGGTTCACAAAACCTCTATGGAAACAGAAAGGTGCAGGTGCTTCTGAATTCTGTATGTCAAAATGCTTTCCGTTTATACCATAATACATACAATTAAAAAACCCTCAAACATGCAAATTGTAGAAAAATTTAAGCTGGCAGTGAAAAATAAAAACAAACGTCTTCTTTTTGTGCACGTCACAGTTTGTTTCATTAAATCAGATTTCTAATTCTAAGGAACGTAGTGTCTGATGCCACTGGTTAAAGCAGGTTTATCAACTACGAGTAGTTAAAAGGTCAACGTTTAATGGTCCGTACAGTCGTAACTCCCACCTACTGTACAGGAAGATCAAGACAGACTTGACTTTCCTCTTCCACCATGTACCCTCTGTCAGTAATTCTTTGGAGCAAGGCGGGTGCCGGGTGGTTTCCCGGGTGGAGGAGAGGAACCACCGCACCGCGTCAGAGCGTCAACGGGAAGCCGAGGGGTTGGCTCAGCACTGCCCCTAACTCCCTGATCTCAGTTCAACCCCAGTTCAAAGTGTCGTGGCTCCCAAGAAGCGTTGCTGGCATTGAACAGGCAAAATGCTTTCGCTTGTGTTTTTACCCCGCGTCCAAATTCACAAGCAAAATAATTACTCTTCTTTAAAAAAACCAAACCAAAAAAAAAAAAAAACCAAACCCAAACCAAACCCAAATCTCAATGGCCAATTACAGAAGGTTCACACATTAAAGCAGTAACTCATATCTAAATTTTCCACAGAAACCTATATCTCTGGGTCAAGTGTTAAAAAAAAAAAAAAAAAAATCTGTGTTAAGACAACCAAAAAGATTTATATACTGGTTCATTAGCTACATATTTTTTTCCTTTCTTTAGAAATGGTCACATTGACAATGTATAATTCAAAACATTTCTGCACAATAAAAACAGAAAACTATGATACAGTGAGGTAAAGAAAACGCAAAAATATTCACCCACAATATATTTTCAGAAAATACCAACACAGTGATTTTTCTTTTAAAAAAGCACAAAACTTATAAATGAACAGCATAAATGGCTATTTATCTGAGTGATCGCCTACGAATTTCCTAAACCCACAAATCCACAGGGAAGTGTAATGGTCTCATCCAACATTTATTTAAAAAATAACCCTTTCTGGATCACGACCCGCAGATCAGTAATCACGACCCGCTCAGATTTCCATCAGATCCAAATCAGCGTCTTCAAAGCCATAAAATGATTCAGTCTCACTTTCCCCTTCGAAGAGCTGATGGAGGATTTCTGGGTCTGCAGATTCCTCGGCCTGGGTCCGATCCTGGACCTCAGCCGCCGCCTCCTCCTGCTGCTCATCGTTCAGCTTCAGCTGCTCCTCCAGCGAGGCAATCAGCTCCTCCTGCATGTCGGCGTTGCGCGTGGGCGAGTTGGCCGTGCCGTCCGGACCGGGCAGCACGCTGGCCACCAGGAAGGACTGCTGCACAAGTTCAGGAGAGTCACTAATGACCTCCAGGACCTCTGCCAGCCAGCATAAAACCAGCTGGAGAAGAATGTCCGAGTCGCACGTGGAGTCCGCCATTTCCTTGGCTTGCTCTTTCCACTTTTTATGCAAGAAATTTTTCACAGTCCTTTTAATACAAACATCTAGAGGTTGGATTTTGGAGCTGCAGCCAGCAGGGACAACAGCCGGCAGAGTGCTGGACGCACTCAGCAAGGAAAGTACTTCTTCCGATAGGTGCGTTCGGTGACAATCCAGCACGAGCATGCCCTTGCTGTTCTGACACTCCGTGTGCTTCTGCCACACTCTGGACGACCACAACTCCATGACTTCGTCGTCACTGTATCCGTTCTCCTTTGCTTCCAACATGATAGATTCCGGCACGTTGGCGGGCTGCTGTACATGACCCCTGTAGAAGACCAGCGTTGGGAGAACGCTTCCGTCGGCGAGGATCGTGAGGACGACGTCGCACCAGGGCTCCCCGGTTCCCACCGTCTGCAGAGCGTTCTCCTTCCTGTCATCGCTGCTCAGCACCTCCACGTCGAGGAAGAGAGAGATTTCGTCGATGGCTGCGATCATGGAGAGAGGCAGGTCTTGAGTGTGGATCTGCCGCTGCACAAACTCGATGAAGCAACTGGCGTTGTCCTCCACGTCTTTGGGGAGAGGGTGAGCCACTGCCCTTCGAGTATGCGTGCTGAGGTTGTGCCGTAGCATGAACCTCACCGCCCACTCGTAGGAGATCTTGAAGCCACCTTCGAGGGATCGGCCAATCTTGGTGGCTTTCTGGAAGAGAGTCTCCTCATTCACAGGCAGCTGCTGCTCTCTCTGCGTGAGGACCCATTCCGCTAGTTTCTCTTCAGCCTCTAAGCTGAGGTACTTGCCCTCTGACAGGGACGCCAAGTTCTCTTCTTGGAAAGCTTGAAACCTTCGTAGCCAGCGCTTGATCCGCCTCTGAGGATTTCGGAAGTGCTCTGCAGCCTGTTCAGTGTTGCAGCACAAAGCAAACAGTACAACTCGCAGCTTTTTTACCGACAGCTGCTCCTTTTTGCTTGCAGGCTCAGGCTCCTTTGTCGGCTGCTCATCTTCTTGAGCGTCAATATTTAAGCACTCTTCTTCCTGGCAGACCAAAGGTCTGTTGTAGGCAGCTGGTGCCAGTTCAGGCTCCAGGTCATCTTTTGCAGGTAACATAGACTTTGTTTTCACAGTAGCAGCTTTACTTGGGGAATAGGTAGGGCATGTGTTCTTCACGCTTTTGTCCTGGGGCTGAATGTGCCTTGAAGGGAGAGAACACAGGACCTTCTTAAAACCGAGAAAATAAAGCTGTTGAGGGAAAACAAACAAACGAAAAACCAAAAGCCAACCCCACAAACTGAAACAGATGATGGCAGACAAGAGTTTACAAACAGTTTACCTGGAATGTGATATCCAAGTAGGCCCTGTTAAGAAAAATAAAACAATAAAAACATTAGTAGCTTAGCAAACAAACACTGTCAGTGCAAACAAACAAATTCTGTCACAGAGAAGAGGATCAGTGTCCCTCTGTTGTTACTCCAAAGCATCCCAACACGCTGTAGGAACAGTAATACTCATCCATCCGTTCAAACCCCAACCTCCTCCCACACTCAAGTACCGCCACATCCAAACAAGTGAAGACTGCTCAAGGGGCAGAGCTGCACTCATCAGCAACCCTTAGAGACAAAACAGCAAAAACCCCACGTCCATTTGAAGCAACAAAAGGAGTTTGGTTAGGAAAGTCCAGCTTTGGCCAGATCCCTGCAGGCAACGCCCGTAAGTTTTGCAAGTTGCGGTAATTCACAGCAAATGGCTGGAACGCCACTTTTAGGCTCTATTCAAATCCCAGCACCAGCAGCTGCCTAAGGCCTCCTGGTGTCATGGAGGTACAATCATGTCTCAGAGGAACAGAGGAACTTGCTGAAGCCCTCGGCATTGTCTCTCCCTGGGAAGATCTCCTGAGAACAGCGTTACCAGTGACACAGCTGAGCTCCAGGCAGAGCAGCCTCACTTAAAGCTTAACTCTCCAATCTCCATAACAATGAAGACTCATTCAGGCAGTTACAGAAGGTGCCTAACATTTTATTAGAACTCAGGACTCAGTAAGCGCTCAGCCCAATGCTAAACAAAGATGTATTTGACCTGGAGTCTATGAACTGATGTATTGTGTCCTGCATTCATTTTTTGCAACTTTTCTGCTCCTTTTCAAACTCTTACCTCGGAAAATGTTACTAAACTCGTGTGATGGATTGAAGACCAGATGTTTGGCCATTGCATCACCCTCAGACGTTACAAAGAGACAAGAGGAACAGGACAGCTTTACACCACTGGAAGTAGGGGGGGAAAAAAAAAAAGAAAAAGGAAAAAAGAGAGAAGTGAGCTTAGTATCAGTATCAGATATGAAAATATGTACACCCCCTCACTAACCATTTCAAAAAAACAAAGTCACCCTCCAGTGCATACAGGCAGTGTCCCCACCCCGAAACATTAACTCCCACTGGAAAGCAATGGGAGCCTCAACATATTGCCTTTAATTCAACGTATTTTCCTGTGTGGCAAAAAATAAACAGAGCTTCTTCAGAAGCAGATCATGAAAGAACAGAACTGGAAGATCAGAAAGCGAATGCACATTAGATTCCCAGGTGATTAAAATAAGACGACAAGTTTTCCATTACCAGGCAGTATAGTTTTTAAACAAAGCCAAGTATTTTGGACTCTTCCGAGGAACATGATTGCTGTAAGACAAAAGAGTTTATTACATGTCAGAATTATTCTGGGTATGTAAAGAGCTATAAAACCATGCAAAATACAGCACATTTACAAAGACAGACGCAATCCTGGGTTTAATAATATTTTGTCTGCCAGTCTTTTATTCAAGGAAATGAAAACTCTGTGTCTAAATAAAAAAACCCTGCACAATAACATTTAAAAATGCCCAGATTTTGGAGTAACTGTTCTGCAATCCTGTGCTCTGATCTATCCACGGTCCTGTACAGACCACAGGCTTGTAGAAGCATGGCATAATTTTTTTTTCCTTATTAAAATTTTTAAATTATTAAATCCAGTAATTTTGCAATCCTAGGAGCACTGAAAAACGACAGTTTTCTGCAGCAGCATGCAGTACACGTCATTAGCTACAATACTGACAGTTTGGAATGAATCTCAGCTCTTGTGCTCAATTTTCTCATCTCATTTGAAAGCCACCACCCATGCCTGGGCTGATACAGAATCAGTCCAGTGTCTTACAAACCACTGCAGTGGCCTGGAATTTCCCGATACCCCTTTCTTACAGTGCAGACAGACAGACATAGAGGTGCTACTGCTTTCGGGCAGGAGGAATTTCTACTACAGCGTTCAAAGAATCACACATACTTGATCATGTGGTTGGCGTAAGCTCTGGAGCAGCAAGTGCTGTAGCGACATAGTGAACAGTGCACGTAGGTGGGAAAGTGGTTTGGGAAGTCGGGGATTTCGAAGCTGCACTCCAGACAAGTCTGCCTCCCCAAGACGCTCCTGAAGATAAGAGGGATATTTTCATTAGTGTCTGAACAGGTATCTTTGGAGTTATAACAATCATCAGGAGAGAGAAGAATTTAATGACATGTAAACTTTCAGAGGTCTGCAGTCAAACTAGCCTCATCTTGCACCCTAGCTTCCTAGGGTGCCTCGGTGCCAGGCTAAACATTTCCCACTTGCTGTAGTCAGGAGTATACAATTTAAGAGTGGATAATAAATACAAAAATAAAAAAATTAAAAAAAAGAAGAAAAGGCAGCAGGACACAGGATGGGCAGAAAGCCCTTATGCTGATGAAATTCCATTGTTTCTATAAAAGCGCTTAGCTAATTCTGTATTTCACAGTTTCACCTTAAGGGCTTTCACAACACGACTTAATCCTGGTTTTGTGGGAAGCTAGATTCTCCTGGCATAAAGTTTCCTTGGCAACTGGTAAGACAGAGCTGTCCAGTGCCGAGGATCGTATTACCCATCACTGTGGCATGAAAAGGCTAGCTACATTTCCTTTAAAAATCTTTTTTAATTTGATATTTAGCAAAACGTTCTGACATTTTTTTGACCGCTCTCTTCTGGACGTTCCTCTGGACAGGCGGGTACAGGAAGATGGGCTGGGGATCGGTAGACGATGACAGCGGAGTGGTTTCCTGTCCAGTGCCCTGCGGCATGTCATTTGAAGATATTGGCACTGTCCGTGGCTGTCCTCTAGATGCCCTGATTGTAACCTGCAGAAAACAGATACACCCATACCTCCTAAAACACAAGGGCAGAAGTCATCTATCCAAATTCAGACTCCTCTGTTTGGAGCAGTCTTTCAGACTCCTAGCAGAGAATAAAGAGGTGCTCCTAGGATACGATTCGTCCCACCCAGGGCAGCAGTAGCCTAGAAGAGGACACACAACTTGAACCCCTCAGGTGCCTGTTTGTCCCTAATGACTACAGAGGGCGTCCAGGCAGCTAGTCCAGACACCTTCACTTGTAGACACCTTAGTTAGGAGAGTTTAACCTCTGGCATGCCACTTTCACCTCCTCTCTCTCTCTCTTACTGTTTCTATGAAGTATCTGATTAACTAAACACACACAACACAGACAGCATACAAAGGGTTCTTCTGTCCTAGTGAGTGTGGTTTAAGTGATGCAGATGAAGCAAACATCAGTTTTGCAGCACTTAATAAAATACACAGCAATACAGACGCTACGGGTGTTTCCTGAGGAAACAGAGGACGGAGGCCTGCTGTTAACTTGGATTTCTTACCTTGGTTCCAGGTTTCAATCCTTCTAATTGTTTGGGCTTTCGGAAAGTTTTGTGGTGCTGAAGCTTGTGTTCAATTTTATCCTTGGCAAATAGGAACTGGAGTCTACACTTGTTGCAATGATAAACACTCTTCTTCTAAAACAAATGCAAATGAAATATATTTCATTTTAGAGAAACAGAAGTCACAACACCGCAGGGTTTTTTGTTTAAAAAAGAAAAAGAAAAAAAAAAAACACAACACCAAACGCTTTTCCCCTCTTTGAAGCCAAAGGCAGCCCTGTTTTTCTTTAGCATCTGAAAGTCCCTCCCCGCCAAGCCCCCTATCTTGGGTGTTTTGGTTTGAAATTTTTTGTTTGTTTTGGTTTTTTAATTAAAATCATCAGGTTCTGCAGAGACCCCAGACCTGGAAGTGCCATGGAACAAGTCTTACCCAGCTTGTCTAAGCCAAAGCCACACTGGCAGAGCCGCGCGTGGGGCAACATTCCTTCAAAAGTCGCCTTGCCTCTGCCTCTTACAGGAGTCAGTGAAGGACTTCAGGGGCAAATCAATTCAGGCACTTGCTAAGAGCGCTACATTTCTATATTCTGAAAGTACACTTCAGCTACACCCACATAAAATATGTTGTCAATACAGCCAACATATATGGAAACAGAACACTGAGCTACAAAAATTACATTCATTTGTGTGCATACAGTATTATTTACTTATTTATTACCTAGAGAAAAAAAAAATTAAAACCCAAATGAACATAGGACCCACTGTTGGTTAATCATCGCATGAAGCAAACACAATCCAGCAAAACACGCTTTTTTCTGCTAAGTTACAACAATCTGCTACTCCCAAAGGAGCAATGTCTCTTCTCTTCAGCACAATCCCTATGAAAGGTCTGGAATGACAGCATGCAAATTGCATTTGTTATGGAGTGAATACAGCAGCTACTGAACCCCCTCTTTCAACCAAGTTTTCTTTCTTTCTGTTTTTATTCCAAGCAAATGCTCAACTAATCACATGCTTACTATCCACTAATCTCTGGAGAGGGAACCACCTTAAATGAAAAAAGAGTACAGCCCTGACATAGTACCTGATGCCTCATGAAGTGCTGTTGGAAAGCATTGCCATTCTTAAAAACTTTGAGACAGTAAGGACAGAGCAGGTGCCGCGTGTCTTCGTGTATCATTCGGAAATGGCTATCCACTTCAGAATAGAGCGATGAACGATACTGACAGACCTATAGGAGTGGACAGAAACAATTAACAGTGAAATAACATAGGAATCTATCTCACATCCGCCATTGCAACAAGGAGATCTTAACAGCAATGCCAGATCCCCAGAGACACTTATCAGTGGAGTTTAAGAACCAGGTCCTAAAGAAACTGCTAGCTTATTCCAACTGTAAGACACCAAATCAAGCAGTGCGTATTCAGAGTAGTCTGGAGAAACATATTTGAACTACTTGTACAAAATGAAAGTAGTGACAATTCAAGCTCCAGATCCAAGGAAAAAAAAAAAAAAAAAAAAGAAAAAAAAAGGGAGAGACAGTCAATGCAAAACAGTTGGAATATATTAAAGAGCAGTTTCTTCAGGGTCTATGCAAAATGCAGAATTTGGAACATAATCTGTTTTAACATAATATATTTTAGAAGGTTCTACTCTGTTTTTTCTTTTTGGAGGGACAGTGTTAGGACCTCTGGGTGGAGATGACACGTTCAGAACTGATGTAAGCACAAATCTCATGGCAACAGAGTGTCAAGAAAAGGTATCACACAAGCAACATAATCTCATCTGCTCCAGAGTGACAACTTCTCTTTATGGCACAGCAATTTGCCTGCAGGCCCTGGGAGGAAAAAAAAAAAATCAGGCTCTGAATGCCAGTGGGACTAAACAAACGTCTATCAGGCTGATTCCAGTTTCAGGGTGCTGGGAACCAGTGGCAAACATTCAGCTACTCGTGCTGCCCTAACAGCCATCGGACTTAGAGAAGTCCACACCTGGAAAAAAACGCAATGGGCTCCACAGCACTGGGCCATGGCCCAAGTCTGCTTTGGACTGCTATGAGCCACACACTTTGCTGGAAACTGCTAGATTTCCTTATTCTCTAGTATGCATTTATGAAGTCCAGCTCCTAAACCACTTTTAATACCTGACAAACATAGGGCATCTCCCCTGGTTTGTGAGTGTCCTTCATGTGCTGTAGGAACATTGGCTCACTCTCGAATGCCCATTCGCAAATCTTGCACTTTGCTGCAAAAGAAAGGAAAAGCAGGTAACAGCCAGGGGACAAAAAAACCCTGTTAAAACGTACCAAAGAAACTTGTAACTGGTAGTGTAACAACTTAAACCAAAAGAAAACCAACCAACCGAAAAAAAAAAAACCAACCCACCAAACCCAAAAACTAGCTCTCAACTCTTCGAATTGGGTAGTGTCCTGGTTTCGGCTAGGATAGAGTTAATTTTCTTCCTAGTAGCTAGTATAGTGTTGGATTTAGTATGAGAATAATGCCGATAACACACTGATGTTTTAGTTGTTGCCAAGTAGTGTTTACCCAAAGTCAAGGCCTTTTCAGCTTCTATGCTCTACCGACTGAGAAGGCTGGAGAC